ACAGAGTGAGACTCCGTCTCAAAAAAAAAAAAATACATAGGGCACTTGAGGTACAAGGCAATTTATAGGATCAAGTAATTATTGATGGAGATAAAATAATTTCCAAGTTTTTTCCTGTGGAGCTAATTACGTTGCAGACAGATAAACAGAAATTACAGAACTTCTCTGAAAGGAGAACGAATTCAGAAAAGGAAGATTACATGTTTGATTCTAGGAAGCTACACAGAGTTTACATCTCAAAGGAAAACTTTCTATAAATTGAAACTATAAAGAAAGCACTTTAGACCTCAGATCAAATTCAGTAGGCCTGGTACCAATATAAAAATGAACCCCAAATCTATATAGGACTGCAAATGGAAGTGGTATAGACTAAAAACTGCTGACTGATAAGAAAGGATAAGGACCTTAATTCTTGAGGGCAGAGGAGGAAAGTAACATATGAAAGGGAAGTAAATGAGTAATAGTACCCAAAGACCAATTCTCCTTTACACAATAATACAAGGAAGTAGTCAAAAAGGAAAAAAGCCCCACCTGATCAGAACTGAACTGATCAACATGGAACTGCTAATTAGAATTTCAGGTATGTCTTAAGGAAGAGTCACTTTATAAATCAGAAATAACACTGTAGACGTAAGAATCTTCTAATCAGAATGCAAAAGAAAGTATGGACCCAGAAAATGAGCACCGTAATAAGCTTCCAAAAAAAAAAAAAAAAAGTCCGGGCGCAGTGACTCATGCCTGTCATCCCAGCACTTTGGGAGGCCGGGGCAGGCAGATCATGAGGTCAGGAGATCAAGACCATCCTGGCTAACATGGTTAAATACCGTCTCTACTAAAAATACAAAAAATTAGCTGGGCATGGTGGCATGCACCTGTAGTCCCAGCTACTAGGGAGGCTGAGGCAGGGGAATCACTTGAACCCAGGAGGCGGAGGTTGCAGTAAGCCGAGGTCACGACACTGCACTCCAGCCTGGGCGACAGAGAGAGACTCCATCTCAAAAACAAACAAACAAAACAACAACAACAACAAAAAAAAAAACAGGGTCACACTTGTCCACGCTGGAGTGCAAAGGTGCAATCTTGGCTCACTGCTCCCTCGACCTCCCAGACTCAAGGGATCTTTCCACTTCAGCCTCCCGAGGCTATCGCTATGCCACCAGCCACCATGCCCAGCTACTTTTTGTAATTTCTGCAGAGATGGGAATTTCACCATTTTGCCCAGGTTGGTCTTGAACTCCTGGACTCAAGTGATCCTCTCACATTGGTCTCCCAAAGTGCTGGGATTACAGGCATGTGCCCCCGCAACTGGCTGCTGAAAACTTTCTACCAAAATAAATCAAAGTTACTTACCACTGGGTTGAATTTATCTCCCTGATGTTTCTTAATTGAGCCAACATTCTATGGAAAGCAAAAACAGAGCCAAAATTAACAATAAAAATGGATCTTTATGACTAAGAAACGTCTCTTTTAATTTCTAATTTATATAAAAGTTAAACTTCTCAAAACTTTAAATTTGTAAACTGAAAATAGTTAAGACCAAATAGTCAAACCAAAATAGTAGCCTCTTAAAACACACACACACAAGTGTATGCACACACATACACACACATTTACTAGTTTCTAAATAAATGATTAGGCTTTTTTTCTTTTTTTTTGAGAGACTGGTTCTCCCTCTGTCACCTAGGCTGGAGTCCAGTGGCACAAATATGGCTCACTGCAGCCTCAAACTCCTGGATTCAATCAATCCTCCCACCTCAGCCTCCTAAGTAGCCTCCTAAGTAGTACAGGTGCATACCACTGTAACAGTGAACCCCAAGTTTCTCTTCAAAGAATTAGTATGTGTGTTCAGCTCTCTTATTCTTTAATCCTCTATTTTAAGGTTTAACTTCCTTGTAATTCCAGTAAACAACCTTCTCCACTGGTTCTAATCAGTAGTTCACATCTGTTCCTCTTGCCCCAGGCTCCATCCTGACTCATCTGGGTCATCTGCTCCAGTCACCTTCTTTGACCTAGGTCACCCCTGGCTACTTGCTCTGATCCTGTCCATAACCATCCTTCACCAACACACCCACCCTGCCACGCCAGCTTGGATCCCTGCTCTTTTTAAAATAGCCAATTGGAATTAGTCTAGAGCTTGTGCGGTCTAACCCTAGCCAGTAGGGGAACAACACAGCAGTAGGGGAAAACACCTCTCCCACCTCCCTATCCCCCCCACCCCCGTTCCCCAGCCTCCACCCCCACCATCAGGCATAAGTACCCTTTCTCTACTTGTCCAAGCGTGTGGCTACCATTGCTCCATCCATACACTGCACCCTTCTATAGAAGTAAACTGCCTTGCTAAGAGGATTTATCTTCGAGTGCTATTTCTTTTTCTTTCTTTCTTTTTTTTTTTTTTAAGATGGAATTTTGCTCTTATTGCCCAGGCTGGAGTGCAATGGCACTGGGTTAACCACAACCTCCGCCTCCTAGGTTCAAGCAATTCTCCTGCCTCATCCTCCCAAGTAGCTGGGATTATAGGCATGTGCCACCACACTCGGCTACATTTGTTTTGTATTTTTTAGTAGAGACGGAGTTTCTCCATGTTGTTCAGGCTGGTCTTGAACTCCCGACCTCAGGCGATCCGCCCGACTCGGCCTCCCAAAGTGTTAGGATTACAGGCGTGAAGCACCACACCCTTCCGAGGGCCGTTTCTTTTACGGCATCAAAATTTTACTTATAATGCCACTCTACCCTGCTAATTTTAAAACTTTTTTGTAGAGGCAGGGTCTCACTATGTTGGCTATGCTGGTCTCAAACTCCTGCGCTTAAGCAATTCTCCCACCTCAGTCTCCCAAAGTGCTGGGATTACAAACGTGAGCCACTGCACTCAGCTAAATGACTATCTTTATAGTGAATAGTCTTCATACCTTTATAAACTATTGAGAGCCCTCATTATATAAACACTCTTTCACCTACCATTAAAATGCCATTAATCTGAACTTACTGAGAAATAATTTTCTATGCAAATAAACTCGAATGACCAATTATATTTTGGTAATTTTTCATAGTTCTATTTGGCAGGCACTGTTAATGATGCTTATGGGATTTATTTTCCCTTCTAAAACTTTCTTTTTTTCTTTTTTTTTCGAGACGTATCACTCTGTTGCCCAGACTGGAGTGCAGTAGTGCAATCTCAGCTCACTGCAACCTCTGCTTCCTGGGTTCAAGCGATTATCCTGCCTCCGCCTCCCGAGTAGGTGGGATTACAGGTGTACGCCACGACACCTGGCTATTTGTGTGTGTGTGTGTGTATTTTTAGTAGAGACGGGGTTTTGTCATGTCGGCTGGGCTGGTCTCAAACTGAGCTCAAGTGATCCACCTGCCTTGGCCTCCCAAAGTGCTGGGATTACAGGTGTGAGTCACTTTGCCTTTTTTTTTTTTTTTTTTTTTGGAGACAGGGTCTTGGTCTGTTGCCCAGGCTGGAATACAGTGTTAAAATCATGGCTCACTTCAGCCTCGACCTCCTGGGCTCAAACGATCCTCCTGCCTTAGCCTTCTGAGGGGCTGGTGGGACTATAAGCATGCACACCCAGCTAACCACACTCAGCTACTTTTTTTTTTTTTTTTTTTTTAAGAGACAGAGTCTCACCACATTGCCCAAGCTGGTCTCAAACTCCTGAGCTCAATCAGTTTTCCCATCCACCTCAGCCTCCCAAAGTGCTGGGTTTACAGGTGTGACCTGGCTTTCCTTTCAGGACTCTGGATTATTCAGGGCAGTAAGGGGCCCAGCTCAATTACTACTTTTGAGCTTTCCATGCCTGGAGGGATCAATAAGAAATGGATAACACAGTGAATATCAAAGACTTATATTCTGAAGCCTGCTTTGGGGGTGAAATGGGGATTAATCCTGGGAAAACATTTGCTTTCCTGATAAATCGGAGCAAATATATCTGACACCACCACTCTCTCATTTTTCTAGCCTTGTATCTGTAAACGTGTCTAATACTGCAACAACCAACCTATTACTGTAAGTCAACAAGCATGAGGATTAATAATCAGCCAATAAATAAGACTAACAGAAGAAAAAGACACAACAAGCTGGGGTTTCAAACAGCACTGCTGCAGCTGAATTAATGCTAACTATTCCCTACTTCTGGATTTCTTGGTATGTGGGAAAACTAATTCCCTTATTTGCTTAAACTATTGCTGTTTTCTGTACTTGCAGCCAACACATTCCAAAGTGAGACAGCCTAAAACACGAAACAACAGTCAATAAAAAGTGTATACATAATAATCTTTTTCTTAAAAACCCCAAGTGATATTCATTTATGTGTTTCAAAATTACAGAACTACCCTAAATACATCAAACTCTGTCGCTATGCCAAATGGTATAGGACTAATTTGTTTAACATTCTCTAAAGAATTCTACATATTCTGCATGCCACAAAAAAACCTGTGTGTACTGCAAGCAAAGTTGGCCACCAAATCTTCTGTCACTCCTATACACTCCCAGGTATGACAGTCTGGTAGAATGGAGCTGCCAGTAAACTGAAATGGAAAAAGACCATGGTAGGAGCAGGGCAGAGAGAAAAAGAGATGCTTGTATCCAAAAACTTTAGTTTGAAATACTTGAAAGGTATGTGAGTAGGACACTGTGTAAGCAGCTGGATATAGGCATTCAGAGATGTGGGAAGAGATCCAAGCTGAGGATATAAATTTGAAAGTCATCTGCTTATAGATGATATTTAAAGCAATGAAATTAGATGAGATCATCAGGGGCATGAAGGCAGACAAAAAAGAGAATAGGTTCAATGGTTGAACATTATAAAGTTAAGGGTTAGAAAGAAGAGAGAGGACCAGCAAAGGACACTGAAGAGAAGCAGTCAAGTGGGGCAAAAGAAACACCTGTCCCCTGACAAAAAAAAGTGTGCCATTCTAAAAGCCAAGTGGAAAAAAAAATGTTTTAAGGAGGAAGAAGGTACCAAAACTCTGTTAATAAGGACTTAGAATGGCCACTGTGTATGAATATAAAAGTGACTGGTTATCTTGACAAGATCACCTCTAGTTGGTGGGGCAAAACACTATTTGGAGGAAATTCAAGAAAGAACAAACCAATAGACAACTCAGATAGTTTTGCTACATAAAACATTAGAAAAATAAACTAGGTGCTAGCACCAAATATGAATGAAGAGATACAACAGTGGATTTGTAGGCAGATAGAAATAATTTAGTAGAGAAAAAGAAGAGCTCATGGATATTTTCATAAGTAGGATCTGGGTGACCATTCATAGACTGCCCTAGTAAATCCTGCCATCCATTTAGTAAGCTGCTCATGAGGAAGAAAATAAAACAAAACTTGGCTGTAATTGTAAGTAGCTAGTTAATATTCACTCATTATTTTTGAAAAATATAGATACTATTATGTTCTCCCTAGAAATTCTGATTTAGTAAATTAGGTACAGTATAAAACTCAAAAGTCTTTGTCTTAAACAAAATGTCATGTGATTCCTTTTTCCAACACAGTTTCAATAATAATCAATGCATGGTCAATCTTATTTCATCCATACTATAGCCACTATCATTTAGCTCTCCCCATCCTCTACTGGAGATTATTTTGACAAAAGTCTCAGTTTGAGAATTACTATAAAAATTGAAAAGTAAAATCACTATAAATGTTTTGTTTTTTTAAATACAGAACATTTTCTATTTACCTAAAGAGATCACAAGATATACCTGGCTATATTTTTTTCAGTGAGCAATAAAGTTTAATTAACCAGTACTACGAGGTCACCTTCATGGACTAGTATCCTTTTTGTGAGCTGAAGAACTGAACAAGCAGAAGTATAGGCCAAAACCATCTCTTCATGCTCCCCACTGTGCAGATGGACTCATTGAGGCTCCAGCGTACACTGCTTGCTCAGCACTTTATCTACTTTGGGTCAAAGTGTCAGCAGAACTGATACCCACAGGGCATCCGAGTCCACATCCACACCCAGCTCCCTCTGCAACCATCTCTTAAACAGAGTCTGATGATGATGAGTTTCCAATCACGGGCTGCACTGAGAGTATCGGAGGCCTGGCTGAGCACGCAGCCTGGTGGGTGTGGAGTGAAGGGGATTTAAGAGTGACGTCTATAAATGTCAATTAGATAAAATTGGTTGACAGTTGGGTTCAAATCTTCTATATTCTAACCAATTTATGGCTTTTTCTGTAAGTTACCAAAAAGTATAGGCATCTCTTAACTATAGTTGTAAATCTGTCTATTCTTTTGTCTATTTTTATTTCATGCATGTTGGAGGTCCATTATAAAGTGAATAGATATTTAGGGCTCATATCTTCTTGGTGAATAGATCCTTTTAACATTATGAGGGCTTTTTTTCCTGCTGGTAATCCCTGTCTTTTAATATATTCTCTGATGTCACTATAGCCATAGGAGCTTTCTTTTGTTAGTGTTAATATGATATATATTTCCATCAATTACTTTTAACCAAATGTCTTTACATTTCAAATAACCATTTGTAGAAAGCATAATATTGGATCTTTTTAGAAATCAAATGTGATAATTTCTGTTTTAATGGTGGGATTAGATCTTTCATATTTTATGTAATTATTGCTATGACAGAACTTGAAACTACACATTATTTTCCTTTTTTTTCTTTTCTTTTGAGAGAGAGTCTTGCCCTGTAGCAAGGCTGGAGTGCAGTGGTGTGATCTCAGCTCACCGCAACCTCTGCCTCCCAAGTTCAAGCAATTCCCCTGCCTTAGCCTCTCAAATAGCTGGGATTACAGGCATGTGCCACCATGCCTGGCTAATTTTTTGTTATTTTAGTAGAGACAGGGTTTCACTATGTTAGCCAGGATGGTCTCAATCTCCTGACCTAGTAATCTGCCTGCCTCAGCCTCCTGATGTGCTGTGATTACAGGCATGAGCCACCATACTCAGTCTTTTTTTTTTTTTTTTTTTTTTTTAAGATGGAGTCTTGCTCTGTCATCAGGCTGGAGTGCAGTGGCACGATCTCGGCTGACTGCAACCTCCACCTCTTGGGTTCAAGTGATTCTCCTGCCTCAGCCTTCTGAGTAGCTGAGACTACAGGCGCCCAACGCCACGCCTGGCTAAGTTTTGTATTTTTGGTAGAGACAGGGTTTTCCCACGTTGGCCAGGCTGGTCTCAAACTCCTGACCTCAAGTAATCCCCCTGCCTCGTCCTCTCAAAGTGCTGGGATTACAGGCGTGAGCCATCGTGCCAGCCTCATCATTATTTATTTTTATTTGTTCTTTGTTCCCCTTTTCTTACCTTCTAATAAAGTTTTCCTTTAGAAAATTCCACTTTATCTCCTTTTATAGGCTTTTAACTATCCTACTTTTATTGGTTGCTCTAGAATTTACAATATGCATTCTTCATCATCATAGCCCATTTTCAAATATACCATTTCATATATAAAAGAGTATATGTATATTTACTTCCATCTTTTGTGCTCTCATACGACAAATTCTATAATACATTGTTATTGTTTGCTTTGTGCTATCCACTGTCATTTATATAAATTTAAAAACTCAAAAGTAAACTTTCATATTTATCCACACATTTACCTTTTCCTTCCATCTTTGTTTCTTATCATAGATCTGTGCCGTTAAGGCTATTTGATCAATTTTTTAATTTAAGATACTCTATTTTTCAGTTCCAGAATATGCATTTGGTTTTTTAAATTTCCATTATTCTCCTGAAATACTCAATCCCCCACATATTATCCTGCCAACTGCCTTAATGTTCTTGTCTCCTCATTCCAATAGCTGGGTCATCTACAAGCCTATACATTCACCCTTTTCCATGTCTTTGTAAGTTTCATGGTTTTTATAATATTCTAGACACTATAAAGTAACAGTCAAAAATTCAGTGTAATTTTTGATTCATTTGGTTTTGGGTTTTCTTTTCTTTTTTTTTTTTCTTGAGACAGGGTCTCAGTTACCCAGGCTGGAGTGCAGTGGCACAATCTCAGCTCACTGCGGCCTCAACCTCCCAGGCTTAAGCAATCCTCAACCTCAGTCTCCCAAATAGCTGGGACTATAGGTTTGTACCACCACACTAAGCAATTTTTTTATTTTGTATGAAGACAGAGTCCTACTATGTTCCTCAGGCTAGTCTTGAACTCCTGGATAAAGCAATTCTCCTGCTTCCACCTCTCAAAGTGCTGGAATTATAGACAAAAACCACCACGCTCAACTATAATATTAAGTGTTATTTCCCAGGGAGTGTAAGGTCCTTCTACTTCTCCCAGGATAAATGGTTGGTAATTCATATTTCCAGTAGAGTCCATTTGAGCTGGGACTGGCAGCAGCTTTAATCAGACTGAATTCATATGCAATCAACCCAACCCACAACCCCTATCACCACCCACAGCCACCTTTTCAACCTTGTCAAATCTGAGGTAATGGAAGCTTGGGTTGCAGTTCCAAATACTTTTGGTTCAGTTTACCTTCAGATTCAAGTCCAACAGGGTCCCAAATTTCAAGCACTCCTTGAATTTGCAGGACTACATGATTTCTCTACGCTTTTCAATCCTCTCCTCTCCTTCAACTTCTTGTCAAAATGTAACAGGGGAAGATAGGTCAAAGTATCATGCTTATTTATTTGATTTTTGCCTTTGGGACTCTGTCAAGAGTCCCACATCTTCTCTAAAGCCCACAATGTCATTCAAGGATCCTAATTCTTGAATGCCTTTATCCTATCCCTTCAATGTCTTCCCATATTATCTGCCTATACTGACACCATGCACCTGCCCCGAGGCAGGGAAACTGCCACATTCACCTACACAGAACTCTTGTTATCTCTGAAATTCAGATCATTAAGACTTCCTTGAGTCAACCAATTTTTGCTAGCCCTATTTTTAAAAGTATAGGTCAAGGTAGAAGAAGAATCTGTGGAATTCTCTTCTATCTCAGTGTAGGAGGACTAACATAATTTAGGAAAGAGAGCCTCAATTTTTTTTCAACTGAAAAACTTGTTCATTCCACAATTAGAAATATGACTACAAATGCAAACATCTCAAACAGAATTAACTCTGAAAGACCAACATTAGACCATTCTATTATCTGAAGGAAGAGGTGGAAGAGAATGAGGGAAAAAAAACAGCTCAACGTGACTCATAACAATACTTGGAAAAGGTGAAGCTGCAGAAAATAAAGAATGGAAGTCTGTGGGTAAATTTCACCTGTTCCTAGCATAAAGTTGATGTGCTATTTTCAACAAATAGGTCAATAAAAGCTGTGCAAAAAGACATTTGTGACAATATGGATCACAAATATGTATATTCAGAATGCTGTTGCTTAATATGACAGGGAAATTAAATCATGGCATTGTTTTAAACCTAGAAATAGCTTATTCATATAATCTTTCTTTTTTGTGTGTGGGACAGTCTCATTCTGTCAACCAGGCTGGAGTGCAGTGGCATGATCTCGGCTCATGCAACCTCGGCCTCCCACGTTCAAGCAATTCTCATGCTTCAGCCTCCAGAGTAGCTGGGATTACTAATGTGTGCCACTACATGCAGCTAATTTTTGTATTTTTAGTAGAGATGGCGTTTCACTATGTTGGCCAGGATGGTCTCAAATTCCTGGCCTCAAGTGATCCAAGCACCTCAGCTTCCCAAAGTGCTAGGATTATAGGTGTGAGCAAGCCACTGCGCCCAGCTTCTTACACAGTTTTGACTGGATTCTAAACTCTTTCCCCATAAAACGAAATCCTGTAGCAGGATTAATTTCCCTACATATATTCCATCACTTATCTTCACTTCCTAATGCTTATGTCTATGTCAGAGTAATTCCCAATCACCTTTGTTTCTCCTAGCAACTTTTAACAACTTCTTTTCCTACATTAATTCATTATGCATGACTTAGGGAGCCCTAAATGGAAACAGAAAAAGACAGTCAAACTAACCCGAAAGAACCCTAATTATGATGGGGAATATTAAGTTTATCCTTATAAACAGTCTAAAATATTCTAAACTGATTTTGACCACACACAGTAATATGTTATATCAAGCAGCTATATTTTTTCTCTCATCTTAAAAAGAACCTCTCCTGAAACTACATCTCTCTCTATAGCTACCAACCCATTACTCTGCTGCCTTTTACAGAAAAATTCCTCAAACAAGTTGTCCATATGCATTGTCTTCAATTATTCTATCAAGTGTTCCTAAATCCACTCCAATCACACTTTTGTCCCCATCATTTCAAGAAAAACTGTTCTTTTTTTTTTTTTGAGACAGAGTCTCCCTCTGTCATCAGGCTGGAGTACAGTGGCTTGGCTCACTGAGACCTCTGCCTCCTGGGTTCAAGCGATTCTCCCGCCTTAGCCTCCCGAGTAGCTAGGACTACATCCAGCTAATTTTTGTATTTTTAGTAGAGACGGGTTTCACCATGTTGGCCAGGATGGTCTCGATCTCCTGACCTCATGATCCACCCGCTTCGGCCTCCCAGAGAACTGGGATTACAGATGTGAGCCACTGCGTCTGGCCAACTGTTCTTAAAATGTCTAAATTCAATATATAATCTGGCCATGCACAGTGGCTCACACCTGTAATCTCAGCACTTTGGGAGGCTGAGGTGGGCAGATCACTTGAGGCCAGGAGTTCAAGACTAGCCCGGCCAACATGGTGAAACCTCATTTCTACTAAAAATGCAAAAATTAGCCAGGTGTTGGTGGCGGGCACCTGTAATTCCAGCAATTCAGGAGACTGAGGCAAGGGAATCACTTGAACCTGGGAGGCAGAGGTTGCAGTGAGCTGAGATTGTGCCTCTGCACTACAGCCTAGGTGACAAAGCGAGACTCCATCTTGGAAAAAAAAACCAATAAAATAAAAAAACATGGCTGGGTGGGTGGCTCATGCCTGTAATCCCAGCACTTTGGGAGGCTGAGGCAGGCAGATCACTTGAGATTGAGGAGTTCAAGCCCAGCCTGGCCAACATGGTGAAATCCTATGTCTACTAATAATACAAAAATCAGCTGAGCATCGTGGCACGTGCCTGTAATCCCAGCCACTCAAGAGGCTAAGGCAGCAGAACCACTTGAACCCAGGAGGCAAAGGTTGCAATGAGCCAAGATCGCGCCACTGCACTCCAGCCTGGGCGACAGAGCAAGACTCTGTCTCAAAATTAATTAATTAATTAATTAATTCAACAGACAACCTAGATTCACATCTCCCCCTTGCTTTCTTAGCAGCATCACTTCCCCTTACTTTACAAGTTTTCTTCACTTCACTTCCAGGACACCACACATCCTCCTAGTTTTGTTCCTACATCACTGGACAAACCACAGTTTCCTTTGCTAGTTGCTCCTCTTTATGCCAACCTCTTAACACATTCCTAATGATACAAAGAACATAGATCTTGGCCTTCTTTTCTATATATACTCACATCTTTGGTGATCATCCCGTTTCAATTCCTAAACTCTTATCTACCTTTTAAATACTAAGTACGCTAATGACTGCTGTCTTAGTTTGGGTTCTCCCAAAAGCAATGGCTGAGGTAAGAACCTGAGTAAAAGCAGTTTGTCTAGAGAACGACCTAAGGGAGCAGGAAGAATAAGACAGGAATGGAAGAAAAGCCAATATAAAGTATCATCCCTAAAGACAACAGGGGTTCAATCTACTTAAATCTCTCAAGAAGCATACAGATGGTATCTCAAAATTATCTTCAGATAGGATGAGAGGTGAGCTTTTTATCCATCCAGTAAGATACAGGAGGAGCACTGCCTCTATAGGCATTACCTCTGCCTCACTACCAAACTATGCTTGCTTTCTAATCTTGTTGGTCTCCCACAGAAAAGAAATCACTGGGGCCAAAAAATGAAGAGTGTGTTTGCAGCAGGAAGCTCAGCCTGAGGCGAGTCTAAGCTTTCATGGCACTATTTCCTGCAGGAGGGGTTAAAAATCAGAGGTGAGCCAATAGAACTGTGATGCAGGACACTAGAAATGCCTGCTACACTGAAGCCTGGACCGCTCTCCTAAACCTCAGACTTGTATATCCAACTGCCCATTCAGTATCTCCATTCAATGAAGGGATTTAAAGAAAAAAGCAGAAATTAATTATTTAGAAAAGAAAAACAGTAAAAATGATGATTAAATCCATCATTCTTTTCTGTTTTTGGTGGAAGTAGAAAAATATAAAGAACAGACAATTTCCCAGCAGATCTAAAGAAATAAAAAATACAAGTAGTAATTAGAATGGTAATTTAACAACACAGATAAAAAGTATTTTTAGGCCAGGTGCAGTAGGTCACATCTATAATCCCAGCATTTTGGGAGGCTGAGGTGGGAGGATCACTTGAGGCCAGGAGTTAGAGAGCAGCCTGCACAACATAGTGACATCTCATCTCTACAAAAAAAGTACAAAATTAGCTGGGCATGGTGACAATGTGCCTATTGTCCCAGCTGCTCAGGAGGATCACATGAGTCCAAGATTTTGAGGCTATCAGGCTACAGTAAGCTATGATTATGCCACTGCACTCCAGACTGGGTGACTGGGCGAGGCCCTGCCTCAAAAACAAACAAACAAAAAGTATTTTTTAAAAATAAAAAATTACTAAGCTCAAATAGCGATGTGCTTTATATTATATGACTTTATATAAATTACAAAAATTTTCTCAAGAAATGGAAAATCATAGATGAAATCATGGGTAATATTTGCCAGTTACTTCCGTAAAAGACAACATGAACTCAGTGCTTGCACTTTCAGGGGATGAAATTTGATCACAAGGTTCCGGGTTCACAAGAAAGAAGGAAGATTTCGAATTCAATATAACTCTGATACCAACACCTCTCAAAGTTAGTATGAAGCAAACATTTAGTTGCTTCTATGTAATATAGGATTTTTTGAAGTATTCTTGAATCTAAATTTAACATTTAAATCTAAATTTAATGTTAAATCTAATGTGAAATCTAAATTTAACATTTAGACTCAAGAACAAAAATGTTATATTTAAAGAATATTTCAAAAAATCCTAAATTACACAGAAGCAACTCAAATACAATAGTAATAGTAAAATATGACTAAGGAGAATTGATTCTAGGAATGCCAAGGTGAATATACGTGAGAAAAATCTACTGACAATACATCATCATACAATAAAACAAAAGGGGGAATATCAAAAAGGCATCTAAGTAAAAGTCAACATCTGTTCTTGACAAAATTCTTAGTATATTAGAAATAGTGTATTTCCTCATTAAGAAACTAGCAGTGTCCAGAATAAAACAAACACTAGAGATATTCCTATTAAAATAAAAAATATTAGCACTACCAATAAAGTAAAAAGACAAACCACAGAATGGGAGAAAATATATATAAATCGTGTATTTGATAATGAACTGTTAGCCAGAATAAGGAACTCTTACAACTAAACAAAAAAACAAAATCAAAAACTTAAAAATGGGCAAAGGGTCTGAATAGGCATTTCTCCAAAGATAAAACGGATGCCATAAAAAGCCCATAAAATTGCTAATATCATTAGTCATTTGGGCAATACAAGTCAAAACTACAATGATATGCCATTTTAAACACACTAGGATGGATATAATCAAGATAGGCCATAACAAACTGGGAGGATGTAGAGAAACTGGAACTTCAAAAACAGCTGATGGGAATGCAAAATGGTGTGGTCACTTTGAAAAATAAGTTGGCAGTTCCTCCAAAAAGTTAAACGCAATTACCATATGATACAATTTCACTCCCAGGTATCCAAAAGGATTGAAAACACGTGTTCTTAGAAAAATTTGTAACTAATGTTCATAGCAGCCTTATTCTGTGACCAAAAAGTAAAAACAATTTTTTTAATGTCCATCAGCCAATGAATAAAACAAAATGTCATCAATCCCTAGAATGGAGTATTATTCAGCTATAAAAAGGAAGAAGCGCTGATACGTGATACAACATGGATGAACTTTGGAAACATTAGCTATGTTAAACCAGACACAAAAGGCCACATATTGTATGATTTGATTTTTTTTTTTTTTTTTTGAGACGGAGTTTCACTCATGTTACCCAGGCTGGAGTACAATGGCGCGATCTCGGCTCACCGCAACCTCCGCCTCCTGGGTTCAGGCAATTCTCCTGCCTCAGCCTCCTGAGTAGCTGGAATTACAGGCACGCACCATCATGCCCAGCTAATTTTTTTGTATTTTTAGTAGAGACGGGGTTTCACCATGTTGACCAGGATGGTCTCGATCTCTTGACCTCGCGATCCACCCACCTCGGCCTCCCAAAGTGCTGGGATTACAGGCTTGAGCCACCGCGCCCAGCCGTATGATTTGATTTTTATCAAATGTCAGGAATACTCAAATCAACAAAGTAGATTAGAGGTTGCCATGATCTGGGGACAGACAAAAATGGGGAGTGAGTGCCAATGAGTATGGGTTTTTGTTTGGTTTTTTTTTTTTTGAAGCCCTGATAAAATGTTTTAGAATTAAACAGTGACAATGGGTATACAAAGTGTAAAAAATACTAAAAACTACTGAATTGTATACTTTAAAAGGGTAAATTATAAGTGAATTATACCTCATTTAAAACGTATATTTAAAAGAAAAATTTTAGGACATCAGTTAATGCCACTTTTCTATGTCTTTTTTTTTTTTCGAGACACTGACTCTCTCTTCTGTCACCTAAGCTGGGGGGCAATGGCATAATCAACCTCCTAGGCTCAAAGTGATCCTCCCACCTCAGCCTCTCAAGTAGCTGGGACTAAATGTGTGCACCACCACATTTGGCTAATTGTTTTAGTTTTCATTTTGTAGAGACAGAGTTTCACTATGTTGCCCAGGCTGGTCTTGAACTCCTGGCCTGAAGCAATTCTCCAGCCTCAGCCTCCCAAAGTGCTGGAATTATAGTCATGAGTCACTGAGCCTGGCCTCAGCCCAGTTTTATGTATTAGCACAACAGATTCCAAACTGATTCCCTAATTCTATTCAGTCAGCACCTAATTTTTTTCCTTAAAATTATTTATTTTACTATCTCCCTTTCCTACTTAAAAACCTAAAAT